AAAAAGTAGCCCAATATTAGTGTGTGTGTCAGTTGTAAATAATTTCTATGGATAATTTTACATCTGTTTTAATTCTTATAATTTATTCTGTATAATTAAAAAGATTTCATCTTCACATAAATACCAGTAACTCAAATATAGTTGCTGCATTATTAATTATTCTACTCACAAAAATTACACTTCTTAGATTATCCTAATCAAATAAACCAACAATGAGTTGAATTGCTTTTTAATATATCTTTATTTCTCAATGGCCCAGAATCAAGTGACCAATGACATCCCTCTCTTATTCTGCAGAACTGGTTTCTGGCTTCAGAATACTGTTGAAGAGGAAGAGCTAATCAAACAATGACAATAATTTTATTTATAATAAACTTATCAGTTTCAACTCTTAATGGGATCAAGTTCTAACTAATGAAATCTAATCTTTAAACACTATTATAATGACATTCTAATCAGATACAAATAACAGATAGACAAATCAAAATTTTCACAAAATTTTTGTTATATTATTATTCCTTCAGCAGATTGTTCATATTTAGAATAATTTTACTAACAATTAATAAGTCAAATTAAAAAAGTTAACCTCTAAAGTAGTTATTAGCAAAGGATTTGATTCAACACAAAATAAAACCTTCTGACATCTTTGAAATTCATAGCATTGAAAAGTATTAAACAATGCGGATAAGAATTTGTTTGAAGATAAGAAAGTATTAGGCTGGATTTTTGTCATTACATTGAATAAGTAAATGAGATCAGTTAGGCTGAAGGAAGATTAACACATAATAAGATAAGCTAAAACTGCTAGGAATATACTGGTAATAATAATAATAGATACTAATCAAACTAAAGCAAAAAATAAAGCTTACAATTTACCAAGCAGACTTTTGGTTTTGGCAAAACCCAGAAAAGTCTATGCTAAAAAAGGAAGTAGTTGGAAGTTTGCAGTGTATATCTATTAGCAGAGCACTTAAAACTGGTAAACTTATATACAACCATCTATTGTACAACATGATACTTCTACATGTACCAACATGACCTCTGGTTTTTCTCTAACATGGTTTTGGAAATCCTCCTTACAAATTTTTGCAATTTTTGTGTGTAAACTTTGTTATTTGATATTTCTTTTTTTATTCAAGTAAGCATATGTGGTGTCTCAAATTTGCCCATAGACTTTAGAATATTGGCATTTTCAAATTATTTTGTGCTTTTTGTCAGGTTTACTTTAATGAAAACTGATAGGACAAGGAAGCAAAAATTGCTCTAACTTTCCTATCAACCAGATGTCATTGTCATTACTTTCAGACTTTAGTTCTTAAGACTGTCACTGTGTTTTCTGTTTATAGATTAATCTTTGTATTTGTACAGTTTATTTAAACATGCAAGAAAGCAATTTTTAGGTAAGTGCTATTAAACTTTCATTTTAAACTGTATGTAAGCAATCATTTGTAAAATGATGAATGTATCTCAGTACTCAAACAATTTGGTATTTGAACACAAATTCTGGAAAAAAGTCACTTGGTACTAAACTGAACAAATGTGACCAGAATTAGAACAAATTTTCAATTAATAACATATTTTTATTCTGTCATCCATAAGAATATTTTATGATTAAAAAAAAAAAATAGGAACATGTTGCTGATATTTCTGATCAAGATCAACAAAAAAGCTGAGGTGATGACAATACTTTGTAAAAGAAAACACCCTCGTTTAACTAAAATTAACATTAATGTGTAATACAGTTCTTTTAATTGTGATTGTTAATTAATTATTGATTGCTTTAACAAACATATTTCTCTTAGTAATGAATAAGAATAGTATACTTCTGGAACATAACCCTGTTTTGCATTAGAGTCCTCTGTTTTGTATAGCAGAGATGCGCATAACTTTGGCACTTTTTCAGAATGTAACCACCGTGTTGTATGAGGGATACTTTTACCAAAGAAAAAGTTGTAATTACTCTCTGAAATTATAAGACATTATATCTCATTGAACCAAGACATTATCTCTTTGACTACACAGCATTTAGTAGGGGAATCTATATTTAGAACAGAATGCACTAATATTATTCCAGAATACAAAAAGTAGTATTATCACATTTGTAACTCTTGTTTTAAATTTCAAAGACATTACTATATGAAAGATACAAAGAAAAAAATATACCAATTGAATCTCTTCTAACTTTATTGAAGATCTAACCACAAAAGAATTTTCTACTTACAAGGTATATGCAGATTAAAATGAAAAATATTTTTAAATTTTCTATTTAATTACAAATTAACTGCTTCAACCACCTTCAAGCATATTCAATTCAACTTTTATAACAAAAACATTATCAGCATAAAGATAACATACAAGAATTACAATTATGTACAGTAAGTAAAAATCATACATCTATTTATAAGTATCTGAATACATAATACTATATGAACAACCCTATTAAGAAATTTTTTTTAGTTAAATTTTATATTTAATATGCAATAATTAAGGTCTATTCATAATTTATAGAAATGAGAAAGTGAGAATGCATTTGCTTTATTTTCTGTTGTTATTTTCTCCTAAGTATTTATAGCTCAAAACAACAACAGAGAAAAAATACACTTGCAGTATTCTCAGTTTAAAATATAAAGCTATTAACTGTATTTGAAATTGTGCCTTGCATGCTCATTCAGTTTACAAAATCTTTTAAAAAAACAGAATATTAATATTTAAAAAAATTTGAAAAGAGAGCAACAGAGTGTGTGTGGGTGTGTATAATATTGAAAATTAATAAAATATTAGAAGAGATGATTCTAATGAATATTTTTAGTATTTTAGATAAATCTTAAATTAATAATGCAAATATTTAAATTTAAATGATAATGTTTAGTATCTGTTTTATCATTATCTTGATTAAAAACTTAAAGAATTGTAAGCTACAGAGTACAAAAAAATAATAATTTTTTCTATTCTTCCTTCAATTAATAGAGAATGAAATAGGTCATGAATAATGCTGTCTGATAATTTTTGTATTTTTCTCTATTTATGTTAAAAGTATCTAATTAATTGTGATAGATTAAAAAACACATATTTTTGCTATTGTACTCACACTGTACTTATTCCAGATTATATTGATTGTTATCTTCAGAGAGAAGATCAAGCAACACATGGTCTTTTTTTAAACTCCTCTTTTATTCAGCAATGAAATTTTATTATTGCTTTAAATTTACCTTGACAATTTTTAAATCATTTAGCCATCCATTTTCAAAAAATAACATAATGTTTGATTAGATTACTATCACAAGGTATTAATAAATAACCAACAAATCTATTTTCAAGTCAAACATACTAAAATGAATAGGATAGCTACACCATTAATATTACTATACCTAGTATCTTGGAATACCTGAATACTGCTTGTTTTGCTTAAAATTCTCATTCAACAATACAATTCTTAATTTACTTTAATATAACAGAAAATGTATGTCCTTACATGTAACTTTTAATTCTGAAATTATGAGATCTAATTATGAAGCTTCAATTTTGAGAATATCTATAAAACATTTACAGTGGGTGATTAATTAATTAATCACCCACTGTAATCACAGGTTAATTAATGAACATAATCTGTTCCGAGACCATGTTTGCCAACCGAATTGTTTAACTGATTATTGATTTACCACAGATTTTTATGGAAATTTGATTAATTTGTACTGGAGATGCCAAAAAATAAAAATACATATATACACAATACCAGTCTTGCATTTTTATCAGTCATGTTTTTTTTGTTTGTGGGGGTTAAAGAATCTGTCCAATGTCAATTGCTTTTCTTTCTTCTCCAGGATTTTTCAGAAGTAATTAATAGCTTTGTCATTGTAGAGATCTTGTAGAGATCCCTAAGCCAAACCTCAATCTGGTTTGGATGCCATTTGGATGACCTTTAATCTGACATCCCCCATTTCTTTCAAAGATCTTTAAAAGCAGATGTCAGCATTGGTCCTCTTTCATCTTCCTCTTTTTCAGAAGAAAACACATCTTGCTGAGTTACTTGGTGTTCTTCATTTAAGAGTTCTTGGCGTTCTTCTGTTGTCAGATCCATTTCAGGTTCTATTATGAGCTCTTCAATGTTCTTTATTTTTCAAATGTGATTTTCATTACTCCTTTAGCTGCTTGAGTTTTCTTGATTATATCTTTCTTAGCTATGATTGTGTCTACTGTAGACCTGTTCAAGCCATACTGCCTAGCAACATCAGACATCTTCTGCCCACTCTCTACCTTGGCTATTATATCTTGCTTGGTTTCTGTGGTGAGCACAGTTCTTGACACTCCACTCTTTTTAGGCTCCATAATATTATCAGTTTGTTTTTTAAACAAACTTATAATATTATGAAGCCTAAAAAGTTCAGAAAAGCACTTACAAAAATTCAGAGAACAAATCAACTAGTGCATAAAAAATTATGTAAATGTGAGGTCTGGATGAAATTCAAAATTTGGTGTTAAAACATAATGAATATCTGATGGAACAGTTAAACTCTCACCTTTTGAAAATAAAAACCAACACAAAATTTAAAGAGTCTTGTGCAACAGTCTTGTGACTATAAAAAAATTCTTTGTCAGAAAGGTAAACAAAAAGCTGGAATTACAAGGAAGGGTTTCAAAGTTCAGAGGAATACTATCTGATCAGTATCAGGTTGAGTGTCGATGTCTCCTGAGTTTCAAAAGGTTTCAAACTGCCGCCTACTTAAGACAAGGGAAGACCAATCGATATTCACTATTTTACATCACTTCTTGTGTCTGTTCTGTGAGGTGTTCGTTATCCAATTTGTTTGCAGTCCGAACTGTTCGTTAACTGATCACCCACTGTATTTTAATATGAATATACTCACACTGCATGTTAAAATGTTAAAACTGAATAGTCAAATTTTCAATATATAAACACTCAAAACACCACATAAGTTATATAAATTCAATAATTTTTTTTACTGACTATGTAGCTTATATATTAAGATTTATATTTTGAATGTTTATTTATTGTCAACATATTTTATTTATTATAATTTTAGACAAACTATACTTACTCTTCTTTTAATATATCTTTAATGATTGAGAGTTGATTATTGTTAAGGTCTTCAGCACTATATGCGATATTTGAAAACAAAATTTTATTTTCTAGCAGATGTTTCTTCTGATTTTGAAATTTTAACTGTATCTGCTCAAATGAAAGTTTCAATTTTTTCAACTTGTCATCTAAAGTTTTTAAATCTTGTTTCATTTCAATTTCTGCATCTGAGAGAACAGGTAATGAATACTGTAATTTCTGAAGAACTTTTTCAATTCTGAAAATACATTTTATTATAGGTAATATTTTCTCTGTTTAGGATAAAAAAGTAATAAACATATTATATTAATTTTAACTTCTAAAAAAAAACAAATTATTTAATTCACATGTAAATGTTTAAAACACACACTAATTTTTTTGCATTATTAGTTTACTTCAAATTCATTAAACTAACAAAATTAAGAAAAAAGCTAAATAATCAAATACCCTATAGCAGGGGTGTCCAACCCGCGGCCCGCATGCGGCCCAATAAACGTGTAAACAAAACCGACAAATGTTTTAATTTTTTTATTATTTACTTATTTCAACGGCATAAACTCAAAAAAAAAAGTTTTACAAAGCCGTAAACCTTTATTCATATTTTATTTTTGAGTGGAAAGAAAATATTTCCAAATATTTGGAGATGTGTGAATGCAGAAGGATTACTAAATGAAGCTGGAGTTGTGACTCAAAGATTTATAGACTCAAATTTGGGAAAGGGAGGGAAAGATGAGAAAAAACAAAAGATGTAGTAGTGAGAAACGTTAAATAGATCTTCTGTTAAGCAAATATGGACCTATAATTTTTCAACCTTTTTCACTTCTTTATCTTTTGTCCTTTGCCTCTTTTTCCCCGCACTTGGGTCTATAATCCTTTGATTCACAACTCCAGCTTTATTTAGTATTTCTTCCAACGTTGCAAGATTTGGCTACATTGGGCCAAATGTGGCTACTTTTTTTTTGCTTGACGTAAAAAATATCATTTGGCGCTTTGGCTACATATTATTTATAATTATATTAATTGAATAAAAATGCACTTTAAAATGGTGTTTCGTCGCGTTTTATTAATTAGAGACCCAAATAAAACAAATATTTGTGTTTTTCAAATAAATTTTCTTTAGTCTCTTTTATAATAAATGAATTTATCTATTTCTAAGTAAAATTTGAAAGTGTCTGTAGAAGTAATTTTTTAAAATATCCTATTTTCTTGATAAAGTTTTAATACTTATTATTATAATCTAGACATGTTAGTTTTTAAATATACTTGTATATTGGGCCACGAGTATATATTATATATACTTGTGGCCCAAAACTCCTTGACTTCTTCCAATGTGGCCCAGAGAAACAAAAAGGTTGGACACCCCTGCCCTACAGTATATATCAGTATATTTTTATTTATATATTTGATACATTAAATAAAACTGTTATTAATAAATTATGAAGAACTAACCAAAAACAAAAATCTAAAAGATTATTTGTAAATTATAACTGTGTATTAATCAAAATCAAGTAATTTGGTCTAAAGGTAAACAGGATGCTATCTTTAGATGTAACCTAACCATCCATAAAGTAGATATAGTATATAGTAGTCTGTGAAAAAGTCTTAAAATAAGGCCACACTATTTTCATTGAGAAACTAATTGTAATAAATAGCTGTAATAAATGATAGTGTTTATTTATATTCAAGTTTTATTATATTTAATCTCTATGCTAAATAAGTTCACTGAAGATTTTTAGATAGAAATATTTGTAGCAACTTGTTACAGTTACAGTAACAAGTTATTTGTAAACTTGTTTCACATGTTTACTACATTGTGATATATCAACAGGTTTTCATTTTATATTTGTCATATAAGTCACATTCTCTAGTTTTGAGAAAGTTTTTGGGCTTAGAAAGTTGACTTATACACTGGTATTTACAATATTTAGGTCTTTGGTTAATTCAAAAAAAATATTATAAACAGATTTAAGATAAATAATGAAATAAAAATTCAAAATGTTTTACTTTAAACTATTACGAATTTGAATGCATAAAAAGTTTAAAGTATTTACCTCTGAACTAATTTTTGTTGTACATTATAAGCATCTTCATATTTCTCAGCTAATGCTTCTTCTTTACTAGATAAATGCTCTTTAATGTTCATGCAGTCATCAATATCTTTTGTTTGCTGTTTCTTTAATTCTTTAAGTACTTCTATTCTATAAATATCAAATGCAAGCAGTATAACAATAAATAGGAAATAGATAATAACCCATTTATTAATTTGTTTCAATAAACTGCTATATGCTTAAAGTGTAATTTTTTCACTATTAAATTATAACTGAATACATTTACAAGAATGCCTTAGTTAATATGACTTTATTTAGTGTGGGATTCACTATAGTGCAGTTTATAATATGTACCTGAGGATTAATGTGAAATAATTCTCTAGTATGCAGTTACTTGAACATAAATATTTCTTCTTTTTCTATTTATTTGGAGGTGTTGGCTGCTTTTAAGTACTACTTACAACAGTGATTAATACCTTTAATGCAAAAACTAATGTAGTGACGCATTAGTTTTTGCATTAAAGATATTTGCACAAAACACAATGCTGGTGACAATACTGCGAATTAACCTGAAGAGGATATGACAACAATGTTTGGGAATTCTTGAAATAAAGCATTAATATTTTTGCTCACTAAGCATTATAAAATGCTTAAAATTTGAAGGAGAGTCATATTCAAACAATATTGGATAACTTTTTTCTTTTAATGAAAACATTTTAATTTTTTGCAGNTCATATTTGCAGAAAATGACTAGAAATATCTGTTATTCAGTAATGAAATCCGAACACTCATACACACAAACACAAAGTGAATATTTTTTAAATTTACATATAAAGAGTCTGCTCATTGATTGATGAACGATGATGATGATGATGATGATGATGATGATGATGATGATGACAACGATGAAGTAATAAAAATTTAGATTTAATAGTATTATTTAATTTCATCATAATATAGTTTTTATGGATTTTATGATGAATGAATGCATCATTGTAAGCAGCACCAATTATTTTTTTACAAGGAAAATCTCCCAACCCACACACAAAATAAATTATGTTTCAAGCAGCTATTAGATGTATTTGTTTTTGAGAAAAATGAAGTTCATATATATATTTTTGTGTCTGGCCTCTCCAAAAAACAGTCTCAAAATTTGTGACAATTAGACAGCCATACAATTATCTCATATTTATATTACCTAACCAGCTTCCCTGATGACAAAGAGGTAATAAGAGCATTTATTTATTTTTTCTTTCTACCTTTGATAACTGAGGTTTCTATAAATTAAATTTGAACCAATGATTTTTTAAAAATACTTACTGATTTTTTTTGTGTATTGACATATTTATAACCAATTGCAGCTATTTTTAGTAGAAGATTCCAGAGAGAAATGTTAAGCAACAAAACTATGGAATTTTTGTTAAAATTCAATTTAATTTTATGTAGTTGTTGCATCAAAAGTTTGACTTTGCACAGATAACTATAGTACTACCCCAAACTTAAGTGATAGGTGGGATCGAGCAATAACCGCGTAAGTCAAATTTGCGTAACTCGGGGTATAATCACCGGCCACAATTAAAAATAATACAAATTATTTTTAATTGGGGCCGGAGACTAAAGAAAACAATAATTTAGAAAAAAATGTTTCCAAAAGTCTTTAACAGAAAGCGCGTTGTTTTGTCTCATAGCTTCATGCAGATGTGCAAATGATCATCTCATGTAATAAGCTTTGAATGTTTTGATGACTCCCTGATCCTTCGGTTGAAACAAGCTGGTTGTATTTGGTGGCAAAAATATAAAATACAACTTTCACATGTGGGTCAATATTAGTTAAAGTTGCAGGGGGATGACCTGGTGCGTTGCCAATTATTAGCATCACTTTAAATGGAATTTGTTTAGATTGGCAATAACATTCGACTTCAGGTATGAAGTGATAACCAAACCAGTCCTGAAAAAGGAAAGCTGCCACCCAAGCTTTACGATTCAACTTCCAAATCACAGGCAAGCTAGATTTCGATTTATTTTTCAATGCTCTTGGATTTTCCGAGTGATAAACTAAGAGAGGTTTTAACTTCAATCACCAGCTGCATTTGCGTTAACCATCCCTGTCAATTGATCTTTGGTGGCCTTAAAACCTGGAAAGGTTTTCTCTTCACGCACGATAAAAGTTATTTTAGGCATCTTCTTCCAGAACAGGTCAGTCTCATCTAAGTTGAATATGGTTTGGCTGGTAGAGCCACCTTCATCTATCATAGTTTTGAATTTCTCTGGATAGTAAGACACAGTCTCTTTATCAGCACTTGCAACCTCTCCACTTTCTGCAATGCTATGCCAATTACAGCGACTTTTGCATCAGCCGAACCAACCATTACTAGCCTTAAACCCTTCATCGTTATCCATCTCTCCAGCATCCTCTTTCAATCTCTCAAAAACCAGCTTAGCTTGAGAGCACATCATATTCTGATCAACAGGACAATTTTTCACATTTACTTGATTATCACACCATAATTTTAACATTGTTTCCATCTCAGCGATAATACCGTGACATTTACAAATAATGCTTAATTTAAAGATTGAGCATTTTTCACAGCTTTGAGAATTTTTTCTTTACCTTTTATAATTGTTCAGACCATCAATTCCGTTAGATCAAACTTCTTTGCTAATTCAAAAATTTTCATTTTTGTATTGAAGTCTTTAATAATGTTAACTTTACATTCCAAAGATAAAGTTTTTCTTTTCTTGTTTGATGCAGAAGAATCAGTTGTACTTCGTTTGGATGACATAGTAGAGTCTCTCAAGCCTCTGTAGATATAACAAACACAGAAATAAATAACACAAAGTAAATTGTAGCTGAGCGTCGATTCTGCGTGACATGTCCGAACATGTAAGCTGAACAATAGTATGGGGGAGAGTGAGTAATCAACAGTTGCATGGCACTCAAACAAAAGACGAATCGACGCGATTTGAAAATCATGTAACTCCAGGTTCGGGTAAGTCAAGGTATTATACAATTTGTATGTATTTTAACACTTAAAAATTTAATACAGAATAATGTGTATAATCTGACTACCATCAAATTAAACAGAAACTTTATATTACATACTATTTATGAAGGTAATGTTTCCACTACAAAAACTGTAAAAAAATTCTCCAAATTGTAAAAATCCACTACCTAAATGTCACAAAACTTCAAAAAATATTATATAAATTTAATTTTTTCTAAATTGTGTTTTGAAGCATGCATAATACACATTAAAAAATTCATGAGTACAGTAGTCCCAAAAACTCGGCCTAATGTGGACCGAAGGGTGGCCAAGTTTGTGAAAATGCCAGGTTATAGGGAATGGGGTTAAAAAAGAATAAGTACAAGTGTTTCCTCAGAAAATACTGTACTGTATTTGTATGTATTGTTTGCTTGAGAATACAACAGAGAATAAACTACCCAAATACCCTTAAACAAAGGAAAAGTATTGTACATACTTTATGAAGGCTTTTACTACATGAAAATGAAAATTAATGAATACACAGTATACAGTAATTTACCTGATAAGACAGACCTCAGAAAAATACTTTATGAGGCATAAAGCTGTCTATAATGAAAATTAACTAGGGGTTTTTTCGCCCTGCCAGAGTGTGGCCGAGTTATCCGGACTGCCGGGTTATCGAGTGCTGAGTTTTCTGGACTCTACTGTATTACCATATCACCACAGTAGTAGCTAGGAAGATATGCGCTACTTGTGTTTAAATGCATGCTGTTGCCATTTTTTGGCATTTGCAGGAGCAGAGACAAAAATGAATCTTATTTTCATTTTTCTCAGAAATAAATACATCCAGTAGCTCTTGAAACATCATTTATTTTGCATACAGACTGTAGTTTCTAGTAAGTGATAAAATCTTTTTTCAGACAATTTTTCTTCAATTTTTTATTAAATATATTCCCTGATTATTGTAGTGATTTTCTGAAAGGCATTATCTGCATTAAGTGGGGCATTCCCATAATATATAAAAATTATTTATAAACAAACATTTGTATGATAAAAAACCTCAAAATATACAAAAATTGAAGAAAGAAAAAATATGAATAATGGGTTTCCAGAAAAAATCCATACAAGTTTGTGTAATGCAGTTTTTACCTTGGAAAAAGAACACTATGAACTAGTCATTTGAAAAGTGATTAAAAGCTGTATGTTATCTTTTATTTTTGTAATTCTGCAAGTCCCTGCTATTAAATGTTATTGATTCAACTTTGGGTTTGTAGTGAAAGCTTCTAAACAAGACTTTGGCTCAAATTTTTCAGACAATATTTTATGTGACTGATCAGCTGATCCAGGTTTTTTGTATTCCACCTCGTTCTGTAAATTGTTGCCTTAAGATCTGACCAAAAATCCTTGATTGGTCTAATTTCTAGCACATTTGTAGAGTTTCTCTTCTTTTTGATGAAGGTAATGTTTTCTTGTCACAGTTAATCCAATATAGTTTTGGCATAGTAAAAACTTATTTGATTAAAAAAACAAATTTTGCACATTTTTCATATTTTATACGAGAAAAGGTTAAATTTCTATTAGCATTTCCATCATAAAAAAATTTACTGAGCCAGGTGAAATTTCCATTCTCACAGGCCATATCTAACTCAGTGTTTCTCAACAGGGGCGATATTGCCCCCATGTGGGCGTTTTTCCATGTTGGGGCAATTAGTAACAATTTATATTTTAAGGGGCAAAAAACAATTTTCTGGGCAATATAGTAAAACATTATATTAAGAATTATTAGATATTTTATTCGTTATATTGTACAATAATTAAACAAATAACATTATACTAGTCACTAGTCTATTCAATGCAGTATGAATTTGGCATTAGCCTTGGCCCTCGGCATCGGAATTTTGAAGTGAAGGGGGCGATACTATGTAATGGTTTTATTGAAGGGGCGACAATTTGTTAGAGGTTGAGAAACATTGCTCTAACTATTTCCATTATGTTTATATGGCTAGCATGTTGTTCCAAAATAACACAGCACAGATTTCAATGTATAGCATGTGTTATATTTCTGCAATACATAGCACTTAATGTGTTAAAGCAATTTAAAATTAGGTAGGTGTCAGGAAGCTGCTGAGCCATTGAAATTTGATGCCAAATTATGAGCTCATGTCATGGCATAAAACATCTTGTCCAGCCATAATTCACTTAATTTCACTTTTTGGAATTTTCATATTTTGGGCAATCATGCAGGCTTTGAACTGAATCATTTCAAATGGACAAAAAATCCATTTGTCCTAATTTCATGGATATTTCTCAACAGATATGCTTTCAGGTTTGGATATTTTGCTGTCATTCCATGAAATGATTGCTGCTTTTGTAATGTTTTCTCAAGAGTGTCCTTTGTTTGAATCTGTCGCCACACTTCTTTCTTGTATACATCAAACTTTCTTCCTGCTTCTTGATTTTCATTTTCTTGTCATAATGCACCACTTGCAATTTAAACTTTGCTGCGTAACTCACTCTCACTTGATCCATGTTTAACATGCACTGAACAAGCACTAAACAATAAGCATTAACCATCACTTCATCCATTTGAAATTTGCAGTGTTTCCACACTTTTGTATACCCGCTACTTTTGTCCCTCAGTGGAATTCCAAGATTTTTATTTTTTCCAAGTATATCATTTCAGAAACAGGGTGTGGCTTATATACATATATGGTCTATACATGAATAAATATGGTATTTCACATTTATAAGCAAAATTCTGAAAAGTTTTTATAAACATATTTTGTTAATTAATTACATAATATTTTATTAAATTATTTTTACCTATATGAATATAAATAATTTTTAGAATTGACTTAGGATCAAAACAGCTTGCATTAAAATAAATTTATCAATTTTGACTTCTTGAAAAAGAAAAAGAAAAAAAAAAAAAGATTCTGAAAGAAATAGATATATCATTTCTTCCATTATGTCATCTTTTCCTTAAGCATTGTAACAAAATTGCATTCATAGAATGGAAATTAGAAAGAACATGTTTAAAAAGAAATTTTTATAAGATTTTCAGAAACTCAATACACTATAAATTTTTATTTATTTTCTGCAATATTTTGATTTAAAAATTACAGCATTATTCTTTATAGTGTCATATTGAGCATTATCTAGATGAGGAAATTATTTTAAATTGTTCTTTTTCAGTAAAGTTTGGTTAAAAAAACAAAAGTTTTATAACTTTCTAATCATTTCATAAATCAAATACTTAAATGGGTTACAAATAATATAATTAAAAAATAAATTAATAACATAAAAGTAACTTTAAAAAAAGACTATATTACCGTTTACGAGCTTGAATTATTGCAGTATCTAATTTCTCAATATATTCTTCTCTTAAGCGTTGTGTCACATTATTTAATAGTTGAAGCCATTCTTGAGGTGATGGCTGAGAATCATCAGAAATTAGATTTGATTTCAACAGAGGAGTAGTTACAGAATGCCTCAAAATATTATTCATATAATGCATAAAAGAATTTGCTTTTATCTGTTTCTGGGACAATCCATTTTTTGGTTGAAATGAACTGAGATAATTTAAGTGATAAAATTGTTGATCTAAGCTAAAAAATAAAATAATTTTATTTATTATTAATTTCAAAATTTTCTGTTATTAAATTAAATATTTTTAATATAAACAATAATAGTTTAAAGCTCAACTTTTTTTCAGTTTGAAAACTATTTTAATAGAACTTAAGAACTGAAAATGCCAAAGATTTTCAGATTCAACATCCATCTTCACAAGACAATAAAAGTAACAAAAATAATATCAAATCAATCTACAGTATTTTGAAATATCAAACATAAAACTCAAAAATTTAAATTAAAAAAAATTATTAATACCAAACAAACTGATGGATTATTCATTGGGCAATAAGCAACCCAATGAATAATCTGGTAGTTCATTTGGCATTAGTAATTGAATTGGATTGAGGGTTGTTTCATCCTTATAGACATGTTCTTAATAGCTGTTAGTTATTCAGTAACACTTCTTACTCCTTTTCTCTCATGTTCTATCTACTGCCCCTGGTTTCTTGCTATTTCCAGACATCAAATTTCCACTGCAAAAGACCTTTCTTAAAAAATTTTGGTCCAGTTTCCTTTATTTGTCATTGCAAGCTTTCTATAATCTGTCTAATATTCAGGACTCTTTTCAGTAACTCAAAGGTACAGAAATTCATAGGCATTGCATAAGGTAATTTAATAGGCATGTTAGTAAAGGATATTGACTTTATACTAGTTTCTTCCTTCATCATCTTCAAAAAGGCTATGGTTGAACATGAAGTAAGACTCAATGCTTTATCCTGATAGAACCATATTTTTGAAGTCTCAGCATCATACAATGGTAGAATTTCATGCTTGAACATGGGCTCCAGTACATTACCCTGATCATAACAATTGTTTCCATAAGCCTGAAACAGCCCTCTGTATATATTATTAAATTATTCTGTAGGAAGCCAAAATATCATTTTAATTTTATAAAAAGCTAAAGTATAATAATAAAATATTTATGACTTCAATAAATAATTACATTATTTTTGCATTAATTGACTGTCCCCTATTACCCTATTACATAAAGGAAACTTTATCACTACTATTTTTATTTTCAATTAATCATCTCCATATCCTGGAAATGATTAACTAAAATGTAAGTGATAAACCATTTTAATATGCTCTTTGGCATGCTAGATTTATTCAAAAGTGGCTCTTAAAATGTTCAGATTTTGTTATTGATTTCAGCTGTATTTGTTTTCAATATCTCTCTATATAATATTTTACATTTTCAATAAACATAAAATTTTATTTTAATTAAAAGTATTGTCATTTAATCATATTATTTTTGAAATTGAGTAAACTTAATATCATACTATAAAAAACAAAAATATAAACTGCATTTTCAACTTGCTGAAACTTTTTATTATAAGAAACATTTTTAAACCAGACATCCCCGAATCTCGTGCCCATACATATGCGTAACCTGATCGGACCCCAATTGTTAGGTTTTCACACGTGCAAAAACAACCAACCCAACACAACTGATGTAGAAATGAAAAACAGTTTAAATTTAAATTAAAATTCAAATTACATTTAACATATTTATATTTTTTAACCACACTCAATAACAAAACAGAATAAGATTGATCTAAAATAAAATTTTAAAGTAAAAAGTTTAAATACATTAACTACCCTGTGATACTATAGACATAGAAGGGATAAATGGTAGACAGATATAAAGTAGATAAATTTAGCAATCATATTTGCAGAAAATGACTAGAAATATCTGTTATTCAGTAATGAAATCCGAACACTCATACACACAAACACAAAGTGAATATTTTTTAAATTTACATATAAAGAGTCTGCTCATTGATTGATGAACGATAATGATGATGATGATGATGACAACGATGACTCTCCTGAGAAACCAGAGGTACAAACTACTTTTATTAAAACTATAGCTGATACTAGTTTATTTACAATATATATTTATACAATATATCTCTAGTTTACAATGGAGCATTACCAATAGAGAAATAAATAAAAACATTCCTTCCCAGAGAGAAGAGAAAAAAAGTGGAAGTTTGAGGTCAACTTAACTAGATACAGAAATGTTAACCCTCAGAAATGCCAGGATTCTTGGGATGTACTGAATCCACGAATAACAATCTCTAAAAAGTTGTAGCATATCATCAATCATAGTAAACTCACTTAGATTGTAACTTTCCTTGTAATTATGTACAAAAAAGTCAAAGATGTTTCAAATAGCTGCCAATTTATTAGTTTTCCTTTGTTCATCTTTATTGACTTTATCATCAAATCTAAGGCACCTTAGTAAGAATAGAAAATCTTTTATAACTCATTGTTTTACATAAAATCTCTATATCTGTGCCATCAGTTACCCACATTTCTCTAACGTTAGTATGTTCGCCTTTTTTCGCACCAATCAAAGCCAACTGTTCACTGTGTGTTGTGTTTTTACAGTCCCCTTTCTCATCCAGATTTACTGAAAACATTGTTGATGTATTTGTTAGTGCAATTAACAATCTCATCTATTATGTTCATATCGAAAATTTGAAAAATTCTTCAGCTTCTGATGAAGTGTTTATGGCTTCATCCCTTGGTCCAGAAATATCTGCACAATATTCTTTTGTCTAGTTTTGGTCATTTTCAAATTCAGCTTTTTATTCCACTTTGTACTTTTGTTTCTATGTAAATAGTACTGGCAATCATTATATTCAATAGCATTTTTACCTTCTCTGCTATCTGATGAACTTGTCTCAGTGTCACTTTCACGATTACTCAATTCAATATTTTCATCATTTCTGTCATCTTCATTTTCAAACATTCTGCCATCAAAAATATCCATTTCATCATCATTATTGTCAGAAAATACTTGTTTTAAAACTTCTGGTATTTCTTCTGAATATTGTCTAGACATTCCTGATAAATTAGGTAAAGGGGGAGTATCAGGACAGCAGCACTGTTGGTGACTTTTTGTTAACACTTTGGAAAGTAACAAGGAACTAGTGCAATTTTTTCCAGTTTTCTTAATTAATAGTGTTCTAAACTAATAAGAAATTACTAGATACTAAGATTAATAACAACTAATAACTATACAATGTTCTCCTGTTAAATGTGGTCGACCTCCGTTAAGCTGAACAAAAACCGAAAGTAAAAGAATGCAACCAAACGCAACTAACATGAAACTGATAATGGATTATAACACAATAGTGGAAAATAGCATACAAGAATTTTTGACAGATTCAAATGAAACTAATATGGATACCACCCCACAAAATCTACAAAAGCTACCAGGTGAATGCAGTAACTTTTATTCATCTTGTTAGGAGTATTAAGTACTGGGGTTGGATGTCACGCCAACAGTTATCTCAATCAAAACTTCTTCCAAAACTTCAGACTATGAGGCGTTAAATATGATTAAAAATAATTTATTCTTGCGAGCGCTTTCGACATAAATACGCACGTCGTCTTCAGGCAATACAAATTCATCTTTTATTGAGCATGGAGGATGAACTTTTATTCATCCTCGCTGTTAAATTCGAATGACACCTTAACAGCAGATCTATGGAGCAAAATCTCAGAATTAATCAATAAATCTAATGATAGACTATCTTTACAAATGACATCAATAAAAGAAGACCTGAACTTAATACACAAAACAATACGAGAAAACAAAATATAATTCCAAAGAATGGAAGATCAAATAGACAACTTGAAACAGTAAATTGATAATTTAAAACTTCAAAAAGATCTAATGCAATATAAAATGGATACTTTGGTTAATGACTATCACTATAATAAAATAATATTATATAACTATCCCACTTGAAAAAACGTCTCTAAATCAGAAATTCTTAAATTTATTAATACTTCATTGAACCTAAACAATATATCTCAAGACGAAATCTTAGAAGTAACTCAAATAAATAAACTAACTAACCCAGTTATTAGAGTATCCTTCAATAAAAAACAGATCTGAGACCAAGTTTTTAATACGTTCATATCAAAGAAGCAACAAAAACTATTGGGAAAGTGGGAAAATCTGCAAATTGCACCATATCTCACTAACGTGCCACGAAAACAAGGAAACAATTACTACCAATTTACTACAATCTAAAACAACAAAACCGTTATGTTAAACTATGAAATGATATCCTAATAATAGACCGAAACAGAATAACATTTAACCTTGAAACGAGAAATTTAGTAAATGTGGATACCTTGCTTCCTTTTATCATAACACCAGAACCAACAAGTTGATATGAACAGCATAGTAAAAATCACCAGACAAAAGTCAATAAAAATAAAAAGGCAACTCTGATTATAAACTGGAATAGTTAAGGTCTAAAAAGTAAAATTCCTTCACTAAATATCTTTCAACAGAAATACGACCCAGACATAATTGGAATTACAGAAACTTGGATTATATATGAATCATCTTACAACTCAAACTTCTTAAACAAATATATTATAATATCAGTTCCAGCTCAAAAATCTCCCGGACCCCCAAGTGGAGGACTATGTATACTTATAAAAAAACATATTTGTAAAATACAACATATTGAAAAATCAGATAACTATATTCTTCTTCTAATTGCAATGAATAAACTGTTATTAAGTAATAAAGACTACAAACAAATAATATTAATGATTACTTATATTCCACCCAATAACCTATCAAAACTAAATGAAATATTCAAACTAATAGATTGCTGGCAACACATTACTCTGAATAAACTTTTACTGGAAGACTTCAACGCACACACAGCAGAATTAACAAATTCATACTATAGAAGTCAAAATTATTTAATTCAAGAGGTCAGAAGAACTAAAGACAAAATAACCAATAAAATAGGAGAAAATTTAATAAAGTTAACAAAAAAATAACTCGTCCTCACATTATAAAAATGTTAAATATATTATTAAGTAGACTATTATAATAAGTAAACTATTCAGCTTGATTAACGCACGTATGAAAATTGGCACACAAACCGCATTATGGCAAGGATCCTCCTCTCTATTGGCCCGCTGTCCGCTACAA